GTTAAGGCCTGATGTAAAACAACGTGGTGGAGATATTATTCTCTTGAGAACTCTTGTGGACAATTGTTTTCGGAGTTCCCAGATTATGTGGGATCACATTGCGCACCAATGTGATTTACGAATTCATAGAGATGTCTGAATGGGCTACACGTTGCCAGTTTTCCGTAATCGCTAAGTCAATCTTAAAAACACTTCTAGAGAAAAATGTCTTTCTTTGTCGTAATTGCATTGCACATTTTTGCCATGCAGTTGCATCGTATTCGAAACATTGAAAATAAATCATCATTCGCTCTATCATACGCTTCTGCGTTAGTAAATGACATGTTTACAGTTACCATGATAATGTGATTTGTTTTTCTCGATGAGGTAACTGGATCCGATAGATGGCACTCGAGTTTTTAACATTTTCTTCTATAATTCGAGAACGGGTGGCGATATCGAGATGCGGTTTTCACTAAAATTTAGCAAATTTTAAGGTGACTAAGAATCTGTGAAGTAAATAGTATCGTTCCATTTAACTTTTCTTCAAAAATCACAAAAATATGTAATCGCTGCAGATAACGCCCTCTAGCTTATTTGTTTTAAAGCAAACGGTCTTATTGAAAATATCTTTAAAAAGAGCATAAAATGCTCTTTCAAACAACACCAAAAATATTCAAATCGGTTGAATGGTCCAGGAGATATTAAAATGTAAACATATGAAAACGCATTGACCTCCCCCTCCCTTATTATGACAGATATGAGAAATATCACAAAATAAAAGCGGTGCGGTATTATCCAAGCTATTAAATCATGTTGTCAAAATTATAGCTCATCGTCTAAGTTTCTGAGATAGCGACAATTTTATGTTTCTCAATGGCAGTTACGCCCCCTAACGGTCGAATTACGAACTTCAAAATAATTTCCAGCTATTTCTCGTGGTCAGTTTGCTTATAAAGATTTTTTTCCCAAACCTCTAGGCCTTACCGTTGTCGAGATACAGCCGCTCCGTACGCTTAACGGGACACCCTGTATTAAACCATCTAGTGGGATTGGAGTGTATCGAAAGTTTGTCGAATGAATGAGTAGTTTTGTAATTCTTGGCGATTTTAATCTGCTTCTCATAGGTAATACTCGATTTGATTTTTGTTGCGTCGGGGGCGGTAGATATAACATAATTGGTGATTTCCTTAGTGTGACGAACTCACGAGGGTATACATTGGATTTGGTCCTGTCTAGTTAAATCTTTAGAGTTCCCACTTGTCGGGGAGGATAATTATCATCCTTGCCTAAATATCAAGTTGTCTTGTTACCTTTCTGGCAAAACAGTTCTGCTTAGTGTAAAATTTACACTATTAGACCAAATAGTTTGGATGAACTAAAAATCAGAATCTAAGTTCAGCAAATAACTCCTGATATCTGAATGGTCAAGAATAATTTGAAAATCATTTAAGCCCGTTTCAGAGATATCTCCTTAAACCATTTATAATGATTTTACGCCAATGTACTTATTTTACGAACGCACTGTATATAAACACTTATACAAAATAAATTTACTTACCAACTGATTAAGTCTTAAAACACCCGAATAACTTCCTAAGTATAAAACACCCATACTTCAACAGTTAAATTTCTACACTGACAAAATTACACAAAATTGATATAATTAACTCAAAGGAATGAATAATTTTTGTGGTATGTGTATTAGAGATTGCGGTTTTTTGATAATTATTATATATTTAAAGTTACACAGCGATTAAACACTTCAAGGAATACATTGCATTAAATGTTAAGTTACATAAAAAATTGTTAGTTTGGTTAATAATCAATTTTACTTGATATAGGTAGATTAGATTAAAATACTGTAACATTACATTTACTCAGTGATTTCAGTTTACACTATAAGCGTTTTAGTATTTTTAAAATTTTCGTTTTCCTCTTTAGTAAAATTTGAGTCACAGGAACATTTCTCATTCTTCATTTCAGTGTAGCTTACAGAAGCGTCAATCATAAATGTAATAACACTAATCAAAGAAATCATCTAAAATAATATTAATTATTATTAAATAATAATAACTAATTTCCTTTTTTTTTACCTGGGCAATTTTATAGGGTTCATAGGAAATTGCTTGTGCTATAACAATAAAATAATAAACAGACCATGTAGTGTAATAGCTTACTTCTAGTTTGCTCCATGGAACATTTTTTATGTATTTATCAATGTTGTGGATTTTTATAAGAAAAATAATAGAAGATAAAACCAAAGCTCCAATCGAAGCAATTAAGTAAGCTGTTTGTAGGTCCCTATACCAGTTTTCGGCTACGATAATAGTGATTAGAGTGTTGCATATCTAAAAATTTTTTTATTACTATAATGCCTTATCTAAACAAATACCTACCAATTGAACGAGTTTTAAAACGCACGGAAAACTTTTTAAATACGAAACATTTAATGATCCAATCGTTTTTGATTCTAAATACATTTTGGAATAAGTTGATTTTGCAGCGATGGTTTTTCGCCCACTTCGTGTCAACTTTTATTTTAATATAAATGCTTATTATCTTTATTTAATCAGCTTATCCTTTGTGGTCCTCTGCAAAAAACAGATCAGTTTACACTTTTTACACAACACAAGAGTAAAACAAAAAATTTCGATGTAGACAATTCATTCGGGTTAACAACCGGTATTTTTTTATCTTTCATTGCCAGTCGCCAGTATTGATTGAGATAGTAGCGGCATATGACGGACTGTAACCGAACGTTCATTTAAAGGATTCTGTAATTTGTTATCAAAGAATAATTGGGCAAATAGAAAGCAGCTACCAGACAATTAAATTGTGTTCCATGCATCCAACAAATAACCAAGCGAACTAAAATCCGAAGTATGGACCATGAATTAAACAAGCTAATCAAGAATAAACCCCGTTGAAATGTATATTGGAGGAGATGTTGCCAGAAAAAATGGATGGATCGAGTGAGGAATACCGACATAGTTATGGAAATAGGAATACAGATTAGCACACAGGAAATCATAAAAGTAAAGAGATTACGATGGTTCGGATATGTTCAACGAATAAAAGATAGCCAAAGAAAATGATAAACTGGATACCATCAAATCGAAGAAAACGAGGAAGATCAAGACGGCTATAAAATGTGGAAGTTGAGGAAAATAGTTAGACAACACAAATTACAGCGCCTTTGCTGCAAGCAACTTGTGCTAAGATAATGACAGAAACTGAATGATTTAACCTTATGAAAGATTTATCGCAACCAATTAAAATCTATATTGGATCATATTTTTACTAACATTAAACAGCACTACAATTATGATGTAAATATGTTTGATCATTTCGTCTCTGACCATAAATTGATAAACATAAAACTTGCAATAGATGTAATAAAATATAACTAAGATAACAAAGCAGTCGTATGAATCAAAAATAGCAAACTGCGATGCTTTAAAGCAAAATGTTGAAATTGTATTGAACTTTAGACAAACCGAAAACATTGAAATGGATACTCTGCTTGGCGTTCTTCAAGCGGAAATTGGTAAAGTCACGAATACATCTGTAAGACGTACAACAACAAATATAAGTGAGGGTTGGTTCACTACAGCAGTCAAGAATAAAATAAAAGAAAGAGATAAAGAAAGTGAATTATACTGGTGTCATTTTGTCAAATTACGGAAAGAAGTCAAAAACCTTATTAGAAGGAACATATGCATAAAAAAATTTCAGAATACTGATGGATGCCCGAGAAAGCGGTGGTGTATTATTAAGAATGCCTTGTCGTATGATATAGAAAATAAACGGATTCCTAAGATTGTAAGCAGTAATGGAGGCTCAATGGATCCTAGAGAAATTTCTAATGTTCTGAATGATCACTTCACCTTCAGTGTAGACAGGTAGCTTGCGGGAAAGCCGGTCGCCAATGTCAGCTTGAATTATGGGATAGATTCCTCAATGTACATTAAGCCTACAACTGCAGATGAAATTAAGCGTATAATTGATAATATAAAACGAAATAAAACTTGGTCAATTTCGCGCTATCCTAAAGAAAGGAAGAAACTCCAGTGCATAAAAAAGGCTCAAAAACTCTTTCGGATAACTATAGACCAATATCTATGCTGTCGGTTTTTGCCAAAATATTTGATCAATTTTAAAAAGTCCCATTTGAATATGATTGGTTTCCAAACTTGTGAGTTTCATAGGCGGTAAGAGCACACAGACTGCTATTGTATTATTGTTGGAATTTGTTTACAGAAATCTCAATGAGAGCAAAATCGTTTTGGCTGTTTTCCTGGACTTGTGTAAGGCGTTTGATGTGGTTGACCATGCTATACTGCTTAGTAAGCTCGAAGTTTTGGAAATTCAGGGACCATCACTGAGAGTTTTTAGAAATTATTTAAGAAATAGAAAGCAGTACATTGTTTACAATAATGCTACTAGCAGCACGACTCATATCAAGTATGGAGTACCCCAGGGATCTGTCCTCGATCCTCTGCTTTTTTTAATATATATAAATGATATAACCAATTGTTGTATGCATGGTGATCTTGCCTTGTATGCGGGTGATGCTGTTTTGTTCTACAGACTCTGTCTTTTCTGATGCCCAGTGTGATCTGGACAGTGTTTGCTCTTGGATGGATAAAAATAATATTCAATTAAACAGTGATAAATGTACATACATGATCTTTAACAAAAAGGCCACTACGAAAAGACATGAACTTATAATCTAGGGTATTAGGTTGAGTGAAGTTACAAATAGTACCTATTTGGGCATTGTCTTAGATAACAAATTAACATTTGATTACCATATAAAATTAATACAAAAGAAGTTAAACGGTATAAGCTATCATCTAAAATGTAATGGTCAATATTTCAATAATGAAACGAGATGGATTCGGTTTATGTGATCTTAGTTAGTTCTGGTTTGGATTTGTGGATGAGACGGGTTGTGTTTCGACTGAATTTTCGGTATGGATGTGCTGGTGAGTGTATTAATGGATAGAATTGGATTGCGTTGTTTTTTGTATATTATAGAAATAACGCAGAAATATGGCAAAATGAAACCAAAAAAAGAGATATATTAAAACATTATAAGATACCAGAAAAAAATAGAAAAATATAGTAGACATATAACTCTAAGACAAAAAAGCTTACATTAATATTAAGCTACACATATATAAAAGCCAAAAGTAATATTGACTTTTATTTGACACAACAAGGAAATTTTCTGCACTGTGATGTCAGAGCTTAAGCACAACTTTTTTACCCATAAAACTATAGATTAATACATTGCTAAAGATTTAAAATAATGGTATAAAGTTAAACAATAAAACTATTTAAGTTTTTTAAATCTTCATTTTGCTGATTCAAATTTGACTCATAGGCATATTTCTCATTTTTTATTTCGTTGTAACATATAGAAGCGTCAATCACAAAAGTAATAACACAAATTAACGAAAATATCTAAAATAATATTAATAATTTAATGTTCCAATCGGTTCATTTTATTGGGTAGTTCTTTTACCTCCGCAATTTTCAAAGATACCGAACCGGTTATTGGTACAAGAATAAGATAATAAAGGGACCATGTAATGTAATAGCCCAGTTCAAGTTTGGTCCAAGGAATATTGTTCATGTTTTTATCAATGTTACGGAACTTGATAAAAACAATAATAGAACAAAAAACCAGAGATCCAATTGAAGCAGTTAAATAAGACATGTGTTGTGCATCACCCCGCCATCGACTCACTACAATAGCAGTGATTATTGTGTTGCATATCTACAATAAAACTAATTATAATAAGAACTAAATCAATGAATTACTTACCAATTGGATGCGTTTCAATATGCATGGAAAGCTTTGTAAATACAAAGCTTTTGATGTGGTAGTTTGTGATCCTAAATACATTTTGTAAATATGATAGTATTTATGCAAATCTAACAACGTTTAGAAACAGAGTAGTTTATTCTCTTTACAAAACTCAAAAAGAAAGCATACAATCACAATTTTATTAACCTAACATGTAACAAGTAGAAGACAAATCCGGTTCTTAAGTTCAACTAACGTGTCCTTGACGTCGCCATGTTGGTAGAGCTGGTAGATTTAAGTATAGTTATATTTAAACAGTAGGTAAATATTGACGAAATTATTTTTAAATGTAATTATTGAAAAAGATGATAACCTTGAGAACAATAACGCTACACTTATTAGAAAATTAGTTTTTGATTGAAAATATCAACCAAAGAAATTGTATTACTAGAAGCACATATAAACACCAAGAGTTGAAGCCAGCGTTCGATGTGTTTTGTTTACGTTTTCACTCAGTCCAGAACGGGACGCGCTCAGATCGGACCGTCCGGCCGACAATCACCGAGTATTTACGAACAGGCCAATCGTTTTATGGTTTCTTTGAAAATAAATTTACCTAATTAATGTTTATCCATGTTTGTCGAAGCCTAATAAATGAATAATTCTCTCTTAAGTAAACAAGGTTTGTGTGCGTATTTGTGTTTTGGCTTTGGCGAAGTTAACATTTTAGTAGTACCGTATTTTTCAGACTATAAGACGCACCTTTTCACATAGAAAAATGGACTCAATTTTGGGTGCGTTTTATGGTCGGAAGGTACCATTAAAATATTTTTTTCAATAAATCGTCTCTAAATTTGAGGTGCGTCTTATAGTCCGAAAAATACGGAATACAGGGTGATTCATTAGCTCTATGACAAACTTTGGCAGATGAAAGGTAATGCGATTCTAAGAAAAAAATGTTATATGAATATGGGTCCGATTCATTTTGGTTAAAGAGTTTTACAGAGAAAATTTTACACAGTTTAATAGGCAAATGAAAATGTAACATAAAAAATAAGTTTAAAAATTACAAAAATTGTTCGAAATATCAGCCTTCAGCTTGAATGCACGCCTCACATCGACGAAGTAAAGATTCTATCACACGACGTATGATATTTGGATCATTCCGTATGCTATTAGCTGCATCTTGAATTCTGTCCAGTAGTTGCTGACGGGTAGTAATTTCTACATGGTACACAAGCTGCTTCATGTGTCCCAAAGAAATTGTATATATAGAAGCAGTTGTAAACACTAAAACTTAAAGCCAACGCAACACGCGGTTTGTTTACTAACAACCTTTGTCGAAACCGGTTGAAACAATGAACGTGCACAGATCGGACCAGCGGCCGATTATCGCCGAACATTCCCGAATATTATTGCCCGTAGAGTAAGGCATACATTAAAATAAATAAACCTATTTGCGAATCAATAAATGATTCGTTTTTCTTCATTTTTATTTATTTATATTTTCTTTGTAAATATTGTATGTAGAGTATACTAGTACTTTTAGTTAGATATAAAACTTATCAATCAAAATACTACATACATTCTTGTATCATTTACCAAGTATATTGTTTCTACGTCCTCTGATTAATTTAAAAAATTACATTATATTTATTGTATTTAATACTTTCAAGTCTTATTAAAACTTGACAAAGATGTATTCTACAATTTATAAAAGTACTACGACAATAACTTTTCAATTAGTAGTTAGTTTAACAAATAATTTTTAATTGTAATTTTATATAAGAAATTAGGATGCTCTTTGGATTCGCCGCTGGATAAAGTCTGACCAATTTTATCTAAATCGTACACGCCACTGTCGCTAGGACCAAGGTCAATTTTGTTTCCAAACAAATGCTCTTGCGTTGGCTTCAAACCGGTATACGGGCGAACATAGGTGATGCGGCTTCTATATATACAATTTCTTTGATGTGTCCCAGAAATAATAATCCAGCGGATTTAGATCTGGGGATCGTGGTGGCCAGACTACTGGACCTCCATTGCCAATCCATTTGTTTGGAAAATGTTCATGTAACCAAGCGATGCCTTCTCTTCCTCGATGTGGTGGTGCACCATCGTGCTGATACCACATATTTTGAACGATGTTAAGTGGTACGTCGTCGATAAAATCGAAAAGGTTATGTCCCAAGAAATTTCTGTACATATTTGCATTTAAGCGTTCATTTATCACCCATACAGGTAGCAAAGAATTGTTAAAAATGCCACCCCAAACGTTTACACTAAACCGTTGCTGAAATCTTCCTGGTCTAATTGCATGTGGATTTTGCAAGGACCACACATGTTCGTTATGATAATTATTTATGCCGTCCCTAGTGAAACACGCTTCATCAGACCACAGAACTTGGGAAATGAAGTTATTATTTTGAGCATGTTGCTGAATAATCCAGTGGCAAAATGCTAAGCGTTGCTCAGTATCTCCAGGATGTAATGCTTGAACATTTTGGCGATGAAACGGATGTAACATTTCTCGATTCAATACACGCCATACAAAACTTTGGGATATTTGTAACATGCTCGCTATACGCCGAGTACTAATTGAAGGGTCGTCAAGTACTAAATCAATAACACGTTCTTCATTTTGTACATTCACATCATGGGGACGAACGGAATGTAGTGGAGCGGGGTTACCTGTTTCTCTCAGT